TCACACAATTCAACCCCTCTGTGCTTCAGTTTCCCTGTCTGTAAGAGAGAGAGATAATGATTGCTGGTTTTGCAAAGTGCTTTGACACCAATGGACGAACGTTCGGCTGTGATCCCAACCGGTGGTTGGAAAGCGTTTCCTACAGTGAGTCACTGGTGTATGGGTCACATATTTCCATTTCTTCCCTCTCTCTGGCTATGTCCACCCCTCGCTCAATTTCCTGGGAATTAGTTTGTCTCAGAATTAGAGTGTCCAATGAATTGCGTCTCCACTGAGAGGTTTAGAAGCATGTAGGTGCCTACAAATCATCACTCCCAATCCTCGTAGCTGCTGTGAAACATCTCTCTGAGCACCTGAATGCTTATAAGGATCCTGCTCATCTGATAGCGTTGGCTTTTTCAGCTGTGGCCTGCTCTGGTAGATGGGAAATAAGGAGTTGGTGATTGTCCTACCTCTGTCACTGACTTGCTGTGTGAAAGTCACACAACCCCTCTGTGCTTCAGTTTCCCTGTCTGTCAATACATGAGCTAACGCTGCTCACCCGCCTTGGGCACGTTGCTGGAGATCTGCAGGTGAGAGAGCTCTGTTTGGTTTTCCTAAGCCTGCCAGAAGGAACGAAGAGACCATCGTGGACTTCCCGTCTTTTGGTCAGGCCCTCTGTTAACATGGATTTTAGGGCATTAGAAGGCAGGAGCGTCTCGTCTCTGCACTGGACTTCTGATGCATCCCCAGGCCAGATCCTTTCCCCCTAATTTCTCCTCATTTAGCAGATGACTGATAATGGCTAATTATTTACTGCAGCAGGGTGCTGGGCCCTTCCAAGCGGCACTGAAGTCCTGGCTACCAGGGAGAACTTTCCAACCCATCGGAGAATGAAATAGCCCAGGAGTGGACAGCAACTGGGAGATGGAAAGAAGTGACCAAGTGAAAGGCCTTATGAGCTTTGCCAGACTAGTCTCAGTTGGAATAAGGAGGAGAAATGTCCGGGTGGGATTTTCAAACGAGTCGATGAGAATCAAGCATCTACCAAACAAAGAATGACACCGGCAGCTGAGTTTTTATCGGCTCCAGCCTCCATTGAAAATCCCACTCCAAAGGGACAATGAAACATTTCTCTGTCAGGGTAAAATCTTATTTCCCCATCTGCGCTGAGAAAGGGCATCACCCACCACTGCGAAACCAGGGGCATTAGCTCTGGTTTATCATTCCTTGGCTCGTAAAGCAGGGATGATGAAAGAATCCCTAGAACTGGAATGGACCTCGAGAGGGCATCTTGACCTGTCCCCTGCCTTCACGGCAGGACCAAGCACCATCTCGGCCATCCCTAACAGATGTCTGTCCAACCTGCTCTTGTATATCTGCAGAGATGGAGATTCCACAAGCTCCCTGGGCGATTTATTGCAGGGTTTTACCACCCTGACAGTTCTGATTCTCTTTTTAAAAAAGCGTGGAGAGCTACCACTGAAAAGCATTGGGGAAAAGCCAGGTATTATAATTAATGAACAAGTCAGGTTTGTCGGGCGCATCAATCCGTATGAAACTCCTTTCCAGTCACACTTACACATTCCGATGTTTGGAATACCCTCGGCAGAGAGTTATTTTTGTTATTGATACTTTGGATGAGCAAGAGCAGGAACACTTCTTTGTTATTCATTGAACATTTCACGAAACAAAAGACAGGACTATGGGATATCTTCATACACTACAGGACAAAATCAAATCAAGATACGGAACTTCAGCTCCGTTAATTGCGTAGCTGAAGTCAAAGTAGTTTAACTTGACTTTTGGCACCGTCCACACTACAGGAAGTAGAAGGGGGAACACTCTTCCTTCAGTTTCCTTTACTCCTTGTGGAAGCAGGACTCCCAGCATCTACTGGAACACCCCTCTGACTTTGAATTAGTTTGTCTTCACTAGACCCGCTCATTCAAACTCTGGAAGATCGAGAATGGCAGCTTTGATCTTCTTCTGCAAAGTAGACGTACCCACAGGGAACTGCTAAAGCAAGAAATGCAGATAGTGAGACCCGGAACCTGATTATTAGAGAGAAATTTAATGTTCCAGTGAGTGGAGAGAAAACACCCTTTGCCCCAGAAGCCTGAACATGTTTTGTCAACTGAACGTCAAATTTCAAGCCTGTTCGGAGAATTGGTCTGGAGAGACACAGATGAAAAGCGTAATTGCTCATGGAAAATAAAAGCTATTTCAAACATAGATCCCCATGTTTGAAAATATAGGCCCTCAACATCTGCTTGTGGGTGCGGAGGCTGACGTGTCTTCAGATGTGTTCTCCACAATGAGGGACCTCTCCCTACCATCCTGCTTTGGGTAACAATCCCTGAATCTCTCCCTATTGCTTGAATGCTCCAGAAATTCTAGGGGAAGTGATTTGTTCTGATTTGCCTTGGCGCTTCTCCAGGGATTCACAGGGGAGGGGAAAATAAAACCATGAAATATTAAGGATCCATGTCTGAGATGAGTCATTCACGTCTGTTTTTGTGTGTTTCCCTCCAGAAGCCACAGGACCAGGAGAAAAGGCATCTCTGCATCCCTCGTGGCTGTCCACCAATGGACAATTTCAATAGCTTCAGAGCATTTTCACAGGCGGGCCCAGGAGCAGCAGAGCAGAGCCAATCGGCATCAACAACAAACAATATTCAAGAAATGGCTTCAGATTCACGGAGTTCGGAGGCTTTCTTCAACATGTAACATTTATCCTGTGAGTACATGTTGAATCTCTCTAGTCTGGCACTCTCTGGTCTGGCAACCTCCATGGTCCGGCATGATGTGAGTTAGCTGGATGTCACTTTTCATGGTTGTGGTCAATTTTACCGAGGTCCCATAACGTTTGTTTACTGCCACCATTCTTGGCTCTTCATGTTCTGTGCTGTTATTTAGCTCTATATGACCTCTCAATGTCTTCTTAGGATGAGTCTACACTGCAGGGCTTAACTCGAAATAAGCTATGCAAATTGAGCTATGTCAACTGCCTCACTTATTTTGAAATAGCTTATTTCGAAATTGGGAGCGTCTGCACAGAACTTATTTTGAAAAAAAGCACTCTTCCTCTGACATCCCTTACTCCTCTTAGGGTTACAGGAGTCGGAGGAAGAAGTCCTCCAGCTTGACAGTATTTCAACACTATTTTGAAATAACCGCCTGCTGTGTCGATGCGGACTAAGTTATTTTGGAATAGTGCTTGTTATTTTGAAATAGTGTTGCAGTGTAGACATACTCTTAGAGCCCAGTGAGCAGTGATGCTTCTAGCCAATATTGACCTCCCATGGTCTGGCCATTCTCTGGTTCATAGAATCATAGAACCATAGAACTGGAAGAGACCTCAGAAGGTCATCAAGTCCAGCCCCTGGCTCTAGGCAGGACCAATCCCAACTAAATCACCCCGGCCAGGGCTTTGTCAAGCCGAGACTTAAACACCTCTAGGGATGGAGACTCCACTACTTCCCTAGGTAACCCATTCCAGTGCTTCACCACCCTCCTAGTGAAATAGTTTTTCCTAATCTCCAACGTAGACCTCTCCCACCACAACTTGAGACCATTGCTCCTTGTTCTGCCATCCGTCACTACTGAGAACAGCCTCTCTCCAGCCTCTTTGGAACCTCCCTTCAGGAAGTTGAAGGCTGCTATCAAATCCCCCCTCACTCTTCGCTTCTGCAGACTAAACAGACCCAAGTCCCTCAGCCTCTCCTCATAAGTCATATGCTCCAGCCCCCTAATCATTTTGGCTGCCTTCCGCTGGACCCTTTCCAATGCGTCCACATCCTTTTTGTAGTGGGGGGCCCAGAACTGGAGACAACACTCCAGATGTGGCCTCACCAAAGCCGAATAAAGGGGAATAATGACATCTCTGGATCTGCTGGCAATCTCCTCCTAATGCACCCTAATATGCCATTAGCCTTCTTGGCTACAATGGCACACTGTTGAATCATATCCAGCTTCTCATCCACTGTTCAGCACTGGTCAGGTCCCAAGAGAGGCTCAAGCTGTATTCCAGTTTTACCTGCGAGGATGCACACTCACATGAAATAGACTTTTTTAACAGCAAAATCCTGGGACAGAGGTTGCATGATTGTGAATGTGTTTCAGAGGTCAACTTGTTCACTCCTGTGAACAGAGGGAGAGGACCAAGTACCTCTTGACAATTGCAGGCATACGTTTTAATAGCTTGTTCTTAAAAAGCCCTCCAGTGACCAATATTCCACATCTTCCCTTCAAATTGATTAACCATTCCTTACCTATCCTTTCTTCCACACATTAGCCCATCTCCTCCTTCTCCTGTCTCCAGTAGACATGGAGAAGCATTGATTTCTGGCTTCCTTACAACATTTCTTCTCACGTTTCTAAACAGTTATCAGGTATTCTCCCCGGCTTAGTCCTCAATTCAGAGAATCATAGAAGCACACGGTGGGAAGAGACCTCAGGGGTCAACAAGTCCAACCTCCTCGCCCAAAACAGAACCAGCCCCAACTCAGTCATCTGAGTCTTGGAGGCATGAACACTGCGGGAGGCCAATGGGAGTGTTTCCTATCAGCTTCCTTTACTCCTTGTGAAAGGAGGAGCACCAGATGCTGGTGGGAGCAGCCTTCTGCATTCAATTTAGCGGGTCTAGACTAGACCCGCTAAATCAAAGGCCAGAAGGTCAACCTTCGGCGCATCGATCTTCTGGTAAATATAACTGTCAGTGTTTCGAACAAAGTGTTACCCCCTCTGAGATCGATCTAATCTACACCACCTTCTCCTAGTTTTGTTATGGAGGTGCCATGTCAATTGTATCAAAAGTCTTACTAAAATCTAATTATATCACATCTACAGCTTTCCCTCTATCCACTGGGCCAGCAGCCTGGCCAAACAAGGAAGTAAGGTTGGTTCGGCTCTTGCCCTCGTCACCATCTTCTCTCTTTTCACTGAGCCATTCATTGTATTTTCTTCATTTCTCCTTCCTTAATCCTTCTCTCATTCCTTTCCCCAAGGATTGTGCCACCATGGCGCCAGTGAGAGAGGGGAACAGAACAGCCGTCCCAGAGTTCATCCTGCTGGGGTTGGAAAAGGGACTCGAGCTCCAGCTGGTCCCCTTCCTGATACTCCTGATGATTTACATGGTAACCATGCTGGGAAACAGCTTCCTGGTCCTCCTTATCGGTGCCAACTCTTCCCTCCACTCTCCCATGTACTTCTTCCTCATGAACCTGTCGCTCGTAGACCTCTGCTACTCCACCGTTATTGCCCCCAGAGCCATGGTGAGCTTTCTGGCTGGAAGCAAAGCTATTTCCTACAATGGATGTGCCACCCAGTTCTTCTTCTTTGGCCTCTTCATCACAACCGAAGCATTTCTCTTGGCGGCGATGGCGTACGATCGGTTCACCGCCATCTGCAACCCGCTGCTGTACCCCATCACCATGTCCAAGTGGGTTTGCATCCAGCTAGTGGCGGGGTCGTACGCCTGCGGCTGTGTGAATGCCATGGTGCAAACCGGCTTCACCTTCACGCTGGACTTCTGCGGGTCGAAAGAGATTGATCATTTCTTCTGCGATGGCCCTCCAGTGATTAGTCTCTCCTGCAGCGACACCTACATCATTAACCTTGTGATGTTTGCCTTGTGTGGCCTCGTCATAGCCAGCACTGCCTTGACGGTGCTCATCTCCTATGTGTATATCATCTCTGCCGTCCTCAGAATTCGCTCCGCGGACGGCCGCCACAAAGTCTTCTCCACGTGCTCCTCCCACCTGATAGTTGTGACTTTTTTTATGGGACTACAGCATTCATGTACATCCAGCCCACTTGGATATCTTCTCTCTACCCCAGGAAAGCTGTGTCAGTGTTCTACACCTTTGTCATCCCCATGCTGAACCCTTTCATCTACAGCCTAAGGAACAAGGACGTGAAAGATGTTTTGCAACGGGCCATGGGTCACAAATTCTTAACACAATGAGTCTTCCCATTGACCATGGACAAACACAGCATGGCAGGGGTCTTTTACCTTCCCACCAAAACATCTGGTGTGACCAGAAATAAAATCATATTATGACAAATTGTTTATTGTTTTTTCTTCCTTATTTTCTGTCCATAAGAACAGCAGCACGGCCAGACTGGGTCAGACCAAAGGACCATCCACCCCAGTGTCCTGTCTGCCCACAGTGGCCAATGCCAGGTACCCTGGAAGGAATGACCACTACAGGGAATCATCAAGTGATCCACCCCCTATCGCCCATTCCTAACCTCTGGCAACATCGACTGTGCGCTGCATGAAGAAATACTTCTGTTTGTTTAAAATCTGCTACCTATTCATTTTGTTTGGTCACCCCTAGTTCTTGTGTTTTGGTAGCAAATAAATAACTTTTCCTCTTTTTTTTTCTACGCCACCCATGATTTTATAGATCCCTATCAGGCCATTGAGACAAGTTTTTGAGATATGCAGGAGGATATGTAGTAGAACAGCTTGTAGCCACAAGAGAAGCACTGACCACCTGGGGTAAAACACAATATTCCTCACAAATTACCCTCTAATTGTGCTTTCTCTGAAGCAGCTGTTACTTGCCACCATGAGGTAGGGCTGACTCTGTATATATTTCTATGACAGGTAATGATGCAAGGAGGAAATTCAATGGACTTCAGACCTTGTGCACACTTTTATGTTCCTCTCTCCATAATGTAGGTCTGAGCCATATCCAAATTGTCATGGATCCGAAATTAGCCCTCACAACCAAACAACTTAGCCCAGGTCTACACGAGACCCAGAAGGTCGGGTTAAGATACACAACTCCAGCTACATAAAATACATAGCTGGAGTTGGTTTACCTTACATCGAGCTTGGCGCTGTCTTCTCAGTGGGAGGCTGATGGGAGCAAACCCTCTTGCTCGCTTTTATTACTCCTCACAACTGCCAGAAGTCCTAGTGCCAGCCTGAGCTGCCCTCAGTGTTCAAGTTAGTGGGTCTTCACTAGACCTGCTAAATCAAACACCAGAAGATCGATCTCTGGCATGGCAAATGGAGACATGGCACTAGGAATCTATCAGACTGTTCCATGGCCATGTCCAACAGTTTAGTGCCCCTGTGGTCCATAAGGGTGCGTCGACACAGCACCCTCAGCTTGAAATAAGCTATGCAATTCAAGCTACGCAAGTTGCGTAGCTTATTTCGAGTCATTTTCAGAATAGCTTATTTCGAAATTTGGCTCTGGCTACACAGCAATTGTTTCAAAATAAATCGCTGTCCCTTACTCCTCGTGGAATGAGAACATAAGAACGGCCGTACTGGGTCAGACCAAAGGTCCATCTAGCCCAGTGTCATGTCTGCTGACAGTGGCCAATGCCAGATGCCCCAGAGGGAGGGAACACAACAGGGAATCCTCATATAATCCCTCCCCTGAGGTTTACAGGGATGTTGGAATAATGAGTCCGTTATATTTTGAAATAACGGGCATGCTCAAAAGACACAGAATAGCTATTTTGGGATACTGCCAGTATAGACGTAGCCTAAATGTCATTCTCAGCTACAGCTGAACTGCTATCAATGACCTCCTGGACTACAACTGAAGGAACAGGGCAGCTTCCCGGGTGTTCTGCTGATGAGCAGAGTTCATAGAATCATAGATCACAGGGTTGGAAGAGTCCTCAGGAAGTCACAAAGTCCACCCCCCTGCTCAAAACAGGGCCAACCCCAACAAAATCGAGATCCCTACCCAGCATGCCCTCCAGGAGGCCTGGGAAGTCTTACTGCCTACCTCCTGGATGTTCCTTGAGTGGTAGAGTGCTGTCCCAGGGCCTTGTTATCTGGCTCCTGCCCCATGAGTCACCGATTGCTCCATAACCCAAGCAGGCTGCGTGGCTTGCAGACTACACCTGGGAAATATGTTATAAAGGGCTCACATGCCACAATTTTCACTTCCTTATTCTCGTGTCCTGTTCCAACACATTGTGGTGGGATCTTGTCAACCTGTGGAGGGCAAGCAATTCTCAAAGGCCACTCTTGGTCTATCAAGGATATTAGTTGGTGACTCTTTTGCAGAGCCGTGGGCATAGAGGTATAGCTCCTTCCCCTGCACACACCCTCCACACTTGCCTATTACTGCTGCACAAGGGAGTCTCTGGTGCATATCTGCATTGAGGACCTCACTTTGAAACCCTTTTTCTGTCTCCTCCCAAACCTTCTCTTCTGGAACCTTCTCTTTCCCCGATTCCCCATACCTCTTGATGTATGCACATGTCATCCAGGGCCTGGTGAAGTCACAAAACCTTCTTGTCCACCTCCTCCTAACACTGGCGAAGGTGGGCTATCTACCACAGGGGTAGGAGGATCTTGGACAGGAATGTGCCCTGTGGCTGAGAGTCTTGTTTTAGTTGCTCTCTGAGATAATGGACAGGGGCAAAGTTCCTCTGGGCTGAATCCATTGGCTCCTTCGGCGCCTTCAAGGAGCAGTGGGCGCTGTCTGCGATTCTTGGCTCAGTGTTCCACTCTTGACCACTGATTTGGAACCTGTAACCCTCACTCCTGCCCCTGTTTTCTCCTTAGTTGTCCTCTTGACTGTAGGCTGAATAACTTCTCCCTGAAGGAGAGGGAAGGGGCCTTTAGCTGTGGGTAGACCCAAACAAACCCAACTTTCTGAGACCCCAACAGATGCAGCTCAACCCTGAAGAGTCTTGAAAATCCCTAGACTCTGGACTTCACAGCATCCAAGTCCCTATGGCATTTAGTTTCTGTCCATCTGGAAGTGCACAACCACCTTGGTCTAGGTGTTTCTTTCAGGCACGGCATGGTGAGGTCCTAAGATTGGCCTGTGGGGCTTGATCTAGTAGTAGGGCTAAGAGCACCTCTAGGCTATGTCTACACTGGAGGGTTCTTGCACAAGAACATCTTGCGCAAGGGTACTTGTGCAAGAACTCTTGCGCAAGAACACGTCTTTTTGCACAAAAGTATCCATGGCAGTGTGAGCGCTTATTGCTCAAGAAAGCTCTGATGGCCATTTTAGTCATAGGGCTTTCTTGCGCAAGAAACCCCTGCCGCACGTCCACACTGCCCTCTTGCACAAGAGCTCTTGCACAAGAGGGTTTACACTTGTTAGAAAAGAGCGTTGCTCTTGCGCAAGGAGCCCTGTCTTCCGACGCCGTACTGGAAATCTTATCCAAGAGCAGGCGGGCAGTGTGGACGCTCTGCGGGTTCTTGCGCAAGAACGCCAGTGTATACATAGCCCTAGGGTGCATCTACACTGCACTCATAGCTTGAAATTAGCTTGAAATATGCAAATTAAGTTGTTTATTTCGGGTCAGTTTCAAAAGAGTTTATTTTGTAATGTGGTGCTGCCTACACAGTGCCAAACTTTGAAATAACTCACTCTTCCGAAGCATCCCTTGCTCCTCATTGAATAAGGCTTACAGGGAAGTCAGAACTGCGAGCCCGAAATAACGGGCTTGCTGTGAAGACACGGGATAGCCTCCGGTATCCTGAAATAACACTGCAGTATAGACATCACCCTATAATGACACTTCAGGGTGCAGACCAGGGGAGGCCTCGTTTTTAATCCCTATGGTTAGAGCACTGAGGTGTGATGTCAAAACTTGAGTTCAATACCCCTCCCTGCATGATGAGGGTGGGTGGAGGGAATATTAGGTGGGTTGGGTTTCCAACCGCATAGGTGGGTGTCCTAACCATAGGACTATGAGATATTGTAGGTTAATGGCATATTAGGGTGCATTAGGAGGAGCATTGCCAGCAGATCCAGAGATGTCATTATTCCCCTTTATTTGGCTCTGGTGAGGCCACATCTGGAGTATTGTGTCCAGTTCTGGGCCCCCCACTACAGAAAGGATGTGGACGCATTAGAGAGGGTCCAGCAGAGGGCAACCAAAATGATTAGGGGCTGGAGCGCATGACCTATGAGGAGAGACTGAAGGATTTGGGTTTGTTTAGTCTGCAGAAGAGAAGAGTGAGGGGAGATTTGAGAGCAGCCTTCAACTTCCTGAAGGGGGGATCCAAAGAGGATGGAGAGAGGCTGTTCACAGTGGAGGCAGATGGCAGAATGAGGAGCAATGGTCTGAAGTTGCAGTGGAAGAGATCTAGGTTGGATATTAGGAAAAACTATTTCACTAGGAGGGTAGTGAAGCACTGGGATGGGTTACCTAGGGAGGTGGTGGAATCTCCATCCCTAGAGGTGTTTAAGCCTCGGCTTGGCAAAGCCCTGGCTGGATTGACTTAGTTGGGATTGGTCCTTCCTTGGGCAGGGGAGGCTGAACTTGATGATCTCCTGAGGTCTCTTCCAGCTCTATGATTCTATGATTCTATGACTGCCTCTCCCATTGAAGTTGTTCCATTTTATATGAGATAATCGACTCTACATTTTAGAGAGTTTTTCTGTTTCTCGGTTTGATCAAGAACATTTCCTAAATGCTAAGAGCTGGGACAACCATCCTTCCTTGGGCAGGGGAGGCTGAACTTGATGATCTCCTGAGGTCTCTTCCAGCTCTATGATTCTATGATTCTATGACTGCCTCTCCCATTGAAGTTGTTCCATTTTATATGAGATAATCGACTCTACATTTTAGAGAGTTTTTCTGTTTCTCGGTTTGATCAAGAACATTTCCTAAATGCTAAGAGCTGGGACAACCAAAT